CTGGAAATATTTCCCACCTTTTTCATTTCATATTGGTGGTGGTGGGGTTATAACACCTTAACCTCCAAGACAATTCTGATCTATTAAATTTTAACTTAACTCAACCTCATTCTCCTCCCAAGCTTTTGTTATAGATTTATATGTTAAAGGTTAACCTTGTTTAGCCTCCTCACTTGCCCCTACTCTTGTTGCTGCCTTACTATGTTAGTCACTGGTGAAATTAGGGTCTGAAATAGGACATAATGGGTATAGTTGAAGTCAAACTGAACCCCTGATACCATTACCTAGATATTGACTTTGGGGAGGATTGTTTTTGTGTTTTCTTAATGGCTGTGGTAACACTTGTCATCTATGAAGCTATCATGTTTATATTTGAGTTTAAACAGTTTACATTTTAAGGGGAGGTCTGGAATGGGTGTAGGATTCAGTTAAAGATTTAAGTAAGTGTGCTACTTACAGCTAACTTCTGTCTTCTTAAAAATTATTAAATATGTTTTTGAAGTCTCAGAAATGTTTTTTTCAATTACTGACTTATCGAATTTGCATTTTGTTAAGCAATACGAGGATTCTCTCCACCACATAGAATCTGCAGTTTTGAAGAGGCAAAGGGTTTGGATAGGATCAATGAGAGAATGCCACCCCGGAAAGATGCTGTACAGCAAGATGGTTTCAATTCTCTGAACACCGCACATGCCACTGAGAATCACGGGACTGGCAACCATAGCGCCCAGTGACCCACGGCTTCCCAGGGACTCTCACATCTCGGGCCTCAATGGACAGATCACCCGAGGAGCCAGAGGGGTCGGCCAAGCTGACTATAAATGTCACAGTCCCTCTGGAGAAACCATTGTGCTTTTGAGACCCCAGCCCTCTCCCTGGATGGAGGCTTGAGGGCCCTGGGACATGATGCATTATCTGATAAGATTGGGTCATCGCTGCCAAGACGGAGAGCAGAGAGCAAGGGGCTTGGGGCAATTTCCAGTGGAGGAAGTCTACACCTCCATTTATGCTTGTGGTTCACACATTTAAGTTTACAAATGATATTTCTTTTTCCCCTTGGTAGAATTAGATTTTGTTTTTCAAACATGACTTCAAATACAATTCTAAGAGCTAATGTGGACTTTTTTTTTCCTTCCATGAAATGTCTTTAAAGGATGAATTAGCATGGTCTTAAGATACATTTCTGAGGTTACTAAGCTGTATTTTGAATTATGGGCAAAATGCTAGGAAACCCAGTTGGCATTTATACAAAATGCTGACCTCAGGTCTATAGTTCTTAAATGTGGCTAATTCTGTAACATATTCTTGGTATTTCTCAGTTATAAATGCATAACCTATTTCTAGGCAGAACTCTCTTACTTGAACACAAATTCAAAAACTAATTTAGGATCTTTTCTGCCCAGATCTTTTGAAATTTACACCCCAGAGATTTAGGAAGAAAACTTCTAAATTTCAAAAATACGAAGAATTACAGAATTACTCATTTAAGATACTTTAAAAGAAGTTTGTACATTGTCAAAGTAAATTTTAATTCAAATCATGTCTGTAAAACTTGATGTGTTTTGTGTATGCATGTTTTCATTTTGCAAATATTTAATATATAGATCTATGATGTACAGGTACGACATGTATAGTTACCTAGATGTTATGAGAAATTTTAGTTTATTGTGAGTACTCAAGTTGCTTAAATAGCCACCAGGGTGAATTGCTGCTGGCTTACTATCATTTTTATGTTTTAATGCAAAGGAAATTTTTAAATGTTCTGGAAGTGTTTTTGATTAAGCAGTGCAGCATAGAAGCAATGGTTCTGTTCAATCTTTCAGATGTTAGTGGAAGCATAAAAGTCAAGACTGCATGCTGAAATTTTTATTTTGATAGTTACAGAACTGCTTGGTTAAACTAAATGGAACCATGTGCTAATTTTTCACTATTTTTGACCTGTATCGATTGCCACTGTAGTTTGATATTTCCCTTTACTTTGGTGGCCTGCTTCCCTTATGCCCTGGAATACAACTTAGAGCTCCAGGCAGCGGAACCATTTATTGTTTTGTTTGCCAGAAAGTACACCCTGTATGGTCTCCTGTCTCAGTTGGAAATATTATGCATGTGCAGGACTATTCGAGTATTTTATAAACAGTAGCACACAATAAATTCCATGCATGGGCCGCTGCTCCTATCTCTGTGTTGGGTTTTATTTGGAAGATACAATTTGATCTGACCTCATGGAAATCAGAACATCCTGTTAATAGAGCTGGGAGATACCCCTCAGAGGACATTTTCTTCTGGGTAGTTCTCAGTGATTTGATGAATTAAGTTTTTCATAATTCTTTTTTCAACTTTCATTACATTTTTCAGACGTGAGCATTAGTAACTGAGACCTGGAAGACTTTGGATGCCTACTATAAGCCTTCTAAATCTAATAATTACGGTCACTGTCTTCACTTAACTTTCAGTTGAAAGAACATGTGCTGTTGTGGGTAATACTGTATTTTGTCTAGGATTTTGTTAAATTGGTATTGGAAATTCATTGAATGTTTTAACAATAAGCAGAAAAATATATTAGCAGCATTATATTTTCTTACCATCACATTTTTGCCATAATCAAGACAAGTATAGGATTTTGCAAATTGAGGGAAATTGGGATATTCCTCAACTTTTTATAAATTACAAAATTACATATTATAATATATGTAATATATTATTCTAATTATGATTCTGAAAAATAATTACAAGGATGCACATGGTAAAGATTGATTTAGTTATAATGTATATACTTACCTAATTCCAGGTAGCAAACAGAACTTCTCAAATTATGGATCATTACAGCTTCTATTTGCTGTGATATTAACTTGCATACTAGGCCATGAGCTGCCTGTAACGTTATTATGCACTGCATACTTTAAAGATTCTTGATGTTACTGTTGTATAAAAGCTGTGCATCTTCAAAGTCAACAGCTTTACTGGTACATCAGGTACCAAGAACTTAGCCCTCAGGGCCGTTATAGAGTGTTTGTGGGAATCATGGATAAACATAAACCATCATTAGCAAATGAGAAGAATGGGAATTAATGGTAAAAATTAAATAGAAGAGGAAAGTAAGAGAAAGGGTCAGAACTCAGAAAAAGTAATACATATGAAGAGTGATAGAGTATCACCCAATGTCTCATAGACTATTTCCTTTGTGCTAAATAGGAACCTCTTTTTAGTCTCACAACTTTAGTTCCTAATGAATGCAAGTTGTGAAAACTTGAGATCTGTCTAAATTGTAAATTTAAATGGCTACCAGAGCAAGTCATAGTTGTTGTTGTGTGCTGGTGAGTTGGTTCTGACTCACAGTGACCCTATTAGAGTAGAACTTCACCATGGGGTTTCCTAGGTTGAAATCTTTATGGAAGCAGGTTGCCAGGTCTTTTCTCCTCTGGAGCATCTGGTAGGTTCAAACTGCTAAACTTTCAGTTAGTAGCCAAATCCTTAACCCATTGTACCCACCAGGACTCAGAGCATATAATAGTGATGGTAAAATAAATATCATTTCAATATCAAATTTTATTTTCTACTTATCATCCCCCTATATATTTGAAAATGACACTTTTAGGTTACAAAAGAAAACCTCTGACTTCGTATGCCTTCTACAGCTCAGGCATTATTAGCAAAACATCACCTTTGAGGCTCTGACAATTAAATTTGAAGTTAACTTGAAATCTTTGCTCAAAATGAATCACCCCTATTTGTATTTGGGTTTTGCCTATTATAAGTCATTTTCCTTTGTCCACAGGCATCTATCTATATAATGTTTTGTTTTGGTGAATCCTTAACACTTTTATTCCACCTAACTGCTTTTAGACTTTTGTACTTTCTACAGTTTGGGGTTCCTTGGAAATCCATTTTCTTCATATGTTCATATGTGGATTTGATTTGCCACCTTTCAAGACCTCAATGCAAGTGGTTCTATTCCTCAGTTTGATGATGGTTCGTGGAGGTAGGTAAGTGACAGAGCTGGGACCTGATATAAGTAAAACTAGGTCTTGTCATATAGGACCACTGTCTTAGCAACTTCTGATCAGCTTTAGAGCTTGATACCTTCAAGTGAAAAGAAAATAGGAATATGGCATTGAATTCCCTGATCAGCATCTGTTATAGGAAGGAATGAGACAATGATTGATTCTGTTCCATCTATTGGACCTGTATTTCTACCTTGCTCTTCTTAGAAATAGTATACATTTTAGTCATAAACTAAAAATTTGGTTTCCTTACTTTAATATTACAGATCATTTATTCTTTTGAAGTAAATAAAAAGTCAGTGTGCCCCTGATAACACCCTCACTCAGTGAGTACCTTTACTCTCCTTTCAGAGGAAGTGAATCTTACAAATTAATTCTGGATGTGTTTTGTACAGTTGATTTCCTTCTTTAACATTAAATGGCTATTTCTCTTCTTTCTTTAGTTTTATATTTGTATTCAAACTAGATTGAACATTGTTGAGTTCTGTTTGAGTGGTATTTGTTATGCCAAAAATGACACTGAACTTAGGGGAACTCATCTAGACATAAATTGACATACAGGACTGTAAGAGTTCCAGTTCCTTAGGACTAGCGCCTGCCCTTTCCAACCAGACACTGACTTCTGAACTTATCCCAAGAGTTTTTTCTTTCTTGGTTTGTTTTTAAAGCTTAGAACTGAGAACAGAAATACTGACCTTAGTGAGAGAGATTGAGGAACCGCAGTAGGTTTCATTTTCCCTCAACGTGTTTGGCCTTTCGTGAGTTCGGGAGTGTTGACAGTGTTCTGAATCCTTTTGGCAGAGCACACGTGTCAGAAAGAGAGAAGTCTTGGGCAGCGGGCCAGAACCCTACTTGCTTCCCTAGAGAGACTTTAGCTTTGTCTGTCTGATGACGGGACACTTAACCACCGAGACCCATCATTTAAGTGGTTTGCAGAGGAAAATGATATGAAGGGACAGCTGCAAGTCAATTGCAACCTAGGTCTGAGAAGATCAAGCATTCACTTCAGTGGGAGTAAAGAGAGAAGGAAGGAAGCCGAGGGTTTAGCAGGGTAAGTTGCTTTTCTATCACCTTGTCTGCTTGCTTAATTTATACTTGAATGAAGTGTTTATCACACCACTGAGTGTTAATCACTGATGAAGTGGCTGAATGTGGTCAAAATAGCATTATTCTTAAGGTATTTCTACTTTTCTTGTTCTCTTTCCTGGCCCCTTTTGAGGAGCCCCCATAACCAGTTTTATTCCCCCTTTACCTCCTACCTTTCCAAAGATGTTTTGTACTTGCTGGTGAATTAGAATTAGATGGGTCCTTCTGGTAGTTTAGGGAATGTACAGGCGAAACCTGAGCTTTTTGGTGGTAAGGAGGGAAAAAGAAAGATAGGTAATCTAGGTCTGAAAATAGGCTTATATTTTGGTTTGGAATTTGGAGGTTAAGGTTAAACATTTTCTATGCCTATCATTATTTGCTGCTGTCCCGTTCATTAAGAGAAAGATATAGCAGTCTGCTTCTGTAAAGATTATAGCCTTGGGAACTCTATGAAGCAGTTCTTTTCTATTCTGTAGGGTTGCTGTGAGTTGGGCTCTACTTGATGGCAGTGGGTTTGGTTTTTGGTTTTACCCACTTCATGCCACCTTTCCAGTCCTTGGAGTTCTCATATGCTGGGAATAAATGGGCCTAAATCACGGGGGACAACTAGAAAAAAAAAAAAAAAAAGATTCTTTTTTTAGATAGGGTACACTCTGGGCTCTGGAAAGTTCTGAGAGCTTTCCACAGTTCTTTCCATCTTCTCCCCTTGTATCCCCTCTGTTTTATTTCTTTGTTTCTCTCAGTCTCCTCCCCGCTTAAACTTGCAGCAGTCTGGGACACAAACTTAAATGTGACCCTGATGATATATATAGATGCAAATGCAAAGACCTGGCTCCGCACTCCTACCTTCTTACCTTCCTGCCAGAAAGCTAGCTCATTTGGGTCATGAAAATAGACACAGAGGAGACTGACCTCAGAGATTTTACCACCACATCCCCATGTTGTGTGATCCCTTTGACTTCCAACCAGTTGAACCATCCCCCAGAAAACCAAGAGTTGGATCTTCCATTGGAGGAAAAGCTGTCCCTGGAAATGGCCTTAATTAGCTTTCTTTGAAGCAGAAAGGCTTATGGTTAAACATCAGAGAGATATTAAATAACTCCTGGGATTTAAGACCCTAGAATTGTCCCAAATCAAAGACATATATCCTCCATACCTGTAAAGAAAAGGTGGATTTTTTTCTGTCATATATTAAGAAGGTAGTACCCTGCCTTGTGGTGTAGTGGTGAAAGCATTTGGCTGCTAACCAAAAGGTTGGTGGTTTGAAGCCACCAGCAGCTCTGTGGAAGAAAGATGAGGCAGTCTGTTTATGTAAAAATTTACAGCCTTGGAAACCCAGTGGGGGGTCACTGTGAGTCAGAATTGACTTGATGGCAACGTGTGATTTTTTGGTTTATTCTGCCTAAGGGTGGATGAATAGAGCAGATAATTTTTTTTTTTTTTTTTAAGAGTTGTAACAATTCTAGAAATGTAATAAGATATGTGTTGATTAAAAGTGGGAGGAAGAGTCAGGTCCCTTGCTGGAAGTGCATTTCCAAGGTGTGGAGGACAGTTCCACCAATCCTTTAGTAAAGGGATAAGACCTTTAATCCCTAAAGTAATATCTTTAGGTCATGCTTCTTCATTGATAGGAATGAAGCAGATATGGAATGCAGATGAGTTCAGTTGAGTCTGTTCTGTGGACTCAGACTCCATCCATTCACCATTGAAAAGAAGGGGTAAAAGACTGGAAACATGACCTGCAACCTATACAACTGTGAGACCAGAAGAACTAGATGGTGCCCGGCTACCACTGTCATCCACTTGGAAGGGATGTAGGAGATCCTGGATAGAGAGGGAGAACAATGTGGAACAAAACTCAAAATCATTTGGAGGGGAAAAAAAAAAGGTGAGGACCAGGTTTGCTGGTCCAATAGAGCCTGGTGGAACCACTGAGACTATGGCCCCTAGCTGCCCTTCAGGTCTGGAATTGAACCCACACCTGTGGTTTCCAGCCAAACAAAATACAGGCATTAAACATTTACCTCAAGTAGACACACGCCCTGGAGAGAACAATCATGGGAGAAGGAAGAGCTGCTTATGCATAGGGAGACAGCTCAGGGTGCAGGAGAGTATGGAGGGATGGACACTGAGAAGAGGTAACTATGGGGAGGAAGTGGGAAGGGAGCTGTTGCATTGTGGTAAACTGTGGTCAATGCCATGAGACAAAAGTATATGTGAACTGCTGTATGGAAAGTGAATTTGCTCTGTAAATCTTCACCCAAATCACAATAAATAATTAATAAATAAATAAATAAAAATAAAATACAGAATTAAAATATTAAAAAAAAAAAAGACTGGAAACATCTGGATGAGGAGAAAGAAAGTACAAAGGAAGATAAAATTTAGTTCTAGAATCATCCAGGAGCTCTGGTGGCGCAGTATTAAGGCATTTGATTGCTAACTAGAAGGCTGTGGTTCTTCCACAGCCACTCCTTGGAAGGAAGATTGGGTAATCTACTTCCATAGTGATACCACCTTGGAAACCCAAGGAGCTGGTACGTTCAAATTACTGACCTTTGGTTAGCTGCTGAATGACTTACCACCAGACCTCCTTTATATGTATCCCTTACATTCCATGATCTGACTCCAGATTATATGCATATCTTACAATGTGGCCCTTGCAGAGCCCTGCCTCAGGTTAAAAACAAAAAAACTCATTGCCATTGAGTCCTTTGATTCATAGCAGTGACTGGGTAGCAGTGAAGTTTTTTTGTTTTTAACCTGAGGCAGGGCTTTGCAAGGTCCACATTATAAAATATGCATATGAGCTGGGTGGTTCTAGGAGGATTTTTTTTTTTTTTTTTTGCCACTTTCACATCAGCTGAATGATGATCCAGGAGTTTTTCTTTTAGGATCTAGCAGATCTGTTCCAAAAAGATCAAAAGCCAGAATATTTTTGTAATAAGGCATGATCCGTGATCTGAACTTTATTAATAGATACCTCATTCACAGTAGAACCAACCACTATCAGCATTTTTATCTAATACTGTTTCCTTGTACCTGGAGTCAGTTAATCTGGAGGTTAATACTTTTTAACCTCTTAATCTTTAAAGATCTTCTGTCTTCCCTCCCTTCCTCCTTATTAAGGTGAAAGTCACCTAACATAAAATTAACTATTTAAAAGTGAACATTCCAGTGGCATTTAGTATATTTTCAGTGTTGTGCAATCACCATCTCTATTTAGTTCGGAACGTTTTAATCACCTTAACATAAAACCCTGAACCCATTAAGCAGTTATTCCCCACCCCTATCCCGAAGTACTGGTAACCAACAATTTGCTTTCTGTCTAAGGATTTACCTATTCTTGATGCTTCATATAAATAGAATCATACAGTTTGTAACCTTTTATACACCTCTTCACTTAGCATAATGTTTGAGGTTTATTCACATTGTAGCATTACTCCTATTTGTGACTGATTAAATCTATTGTATGGATATACCACTGTTTTATCTGTTCATCTGCTAATGGACATTTAGGCTCTTTTTGTTTTTCAGATGTTGTAAATAGCGCTGCTGTCAACATACATGGACATGTATTTGTTTGAATACCTGTTGTCAATTATTTTGGGTACATACCTAAGAGTAGGATTGCTGGTTATATGGTAATTCTACGTTTAACTTTTTGAGGAGCCATCGAACTGTTTTCTATAGCACTGGACCATTTTACATTTCAATCAGCAATGTAAGAGGTTCCAATTTAAGGTGGCCATATCCTTGCCACCACCACTTTTGCATTTTCTCATTACTTCTTGCGTGCTCTCTTCACCTTTTGTTCATCTTTCTTTTTCCAGCCCATCTGATATTCAACTCATTGTACATATTGCTAATAGATAAATCTTTCTGAAACTCTTCTAATTGTGTTACTTTCAGCTCAGAAATCTGAATTGGAGTCCATTTGTTTACCAAAGAAAGTAAAGAAACTCTTTTATGTTGCATCTGATCTTAATCTACCTTGCTAATCTTATATCCCACTGTCTTGGTTCTCTAGTGCTACTATAATAGAATACCACAGTGAATGGCTTTAACAAACAGTTAAGGAGGCTACGGTGCAGGAGGCTAGAAGTCCGAATTCAAAGTGCTAGCTAGCTCTAAGGGCTGGGTGAAGGCCCCTGGACCTTGGGCTTCAGCTCTGCCTCTAGTTCCTGGCCCACTGGAGCTGGAGGCTTTTTCTGACTTAAGCAGCTGTTGGCTGCTGAGGCTGACAAACCCAAGGTCGGCAAGTAACATGGCACAGTCCAAAGTTAAGCAGACAACATAGCAGACCACTAGTTCAAGTCCAAGAACAGTCCCAAGATCGTCAGGCAACATGGCAGGCCACTGGTGACTTGGCCGCATGCAGGATCTAGATATGCCAAAAAGCTGGAGACCTTTCTCAAAACTTAATGCATTGGAAGCAGGCCACACCCCAAAGGTAGATACTCAGCTGCTCACTGAAGATCCCACCATGGAGTTGATTACAATCTCATTATGGGGAATAACTACATCTACCTGCCCAGCCACTCAAAACCACAGCCTAGCCAAGTTGATACACAACCTTAACTACCACAGCCACCAAACCTTTTTGCTGTCTTAGATTTGATGAAAGAGTCCTAGTACAACAGTAGTTAAAACACCCAGCTGCTAACTGAAAGGTCATTGTTCAAATCTACCAGCTACTTAGTCAGAAAAAGATGTGGCAGACTGCTTCCATAAAAATTACTGCCTTGGAAACTAGGGAGCAGTTCTTTTCTGTCCTGTGTGGCTGCTGGGAGCTGGAATTGAATCAATGGCAATGAGGCATGGATTGGATTTAACAATCAAACTCAGACCATTGTATTTTATTCACTTCCAGAATGTTCCTATCTACTTTTCTATACTTACGCTCTTCCATCTGCTTAGAATTCCTTTTTCTTCCATCTTCATGTATTTAAATTCCCATTTTTTAAGGTCCATTCTGGATGCCACCTCCTTCATAAAGTCTTCCTTTAGCTTACCAACTAAAGGTAAACTCTTTTCTCATGTCCCATTTAGTCTCAATTTTCCTTATAGGATTTATATACTATCTTATAATTTACATCTAATCCCTACAAGACATTTAGTTATCTATTTCATATATGTTTCCATATAGTATTTTAGAAATGGTTTATCAACAAATGTTTAGGAATGAATGAATGTTTTTATTTTTTTCCAACATGGTCCCTTTTTGTGTACTTGCCCTTGTGGAAGGATGAGGGGCAGAGCCAGGGAAGAGGACATCACAAAGTACTCTAGCTAGGTAGCAGGTAGGTGTGGGCTTCTTGTTGTTGTTATTTGCCATCGAGTCGGACCTGACTCATAGCGATCCCTCCTTGGGTGTCCGAGGTGGTATCACTACAGAAGTAGATTGCCCAACCTTCCTTCCGAGAAGTGGCTGGTGGTTCAAAACTTCTGGTTTGCATTCAAGTGCCTTAGGCATTATGCCATCAGAGCTCCTAGGTGTGGGCTTAGTTCTACTTAAAAACTTGCCTTTTAGGAAATTTTTTTCTTTAATTTACCAAATTTGCTTTCACTGCACAACTCTTAAGGAGCTTTGGTGGCATAGTAGTTAAAGCATTTGACTGTTAACCTAAAGGCCAGCAGTTCTAACCCACTAGCAACTCCACGGGAGACAGATGAGGCAGATTTACAGCCTTGGAAACCCCATGGGGCAGTTCTATTCTGTCCTAAAAGGGTCACTGTGAGTTGAAACTGGTTCACTGGCAGTGGGTTGGTCTTTTTTTTTTTTTTTTTATGCAACTCTTAGCATTGTGATGCTCATTTGTATTGCATTTAATTTCTATTCTGGGTTTATGGCTTATATATATGATGGTAGGTTTTTTTAAAATGAATGTTTTGTTTCCCCAACTTTGTGTGTGTGTGTGTGTTATGTCCCCTCAAGTCAGACCCAACTCATAGCAACCCCTCCTTAGGTTTCCAAGGTGGTATCACTGCAAAAGTAGATTGCCCCACGTTCCTTCCGAGGAATGGGCGGTGGGGTTTGAACCTCCAGCCTTCTGGTTAGCAGTCAAATGCCTTAGGCACTATGCTACCAGAGCTCCTTCCCCAACTTCAGACTGGCTAATTCCCCATTTATACTGAACTTTTAAACAAAATTTCTGTTGTTTTTTCTTCTCAGTTTTTTTTAAATATGCTAACAATATGTGAATATATTCTTCTTATAAAAAAGTTAAACATTACAGATAAGTCTGAAGTCTACTTTTATCAACCCATCTGCAATCCCAGTGCCTTCCTACCCTCCTCCGAGTTAATCACTGTTAACAGTTTTAAATAACCCTTCCCAGTCTTTTTCTTTTGGTAGTCAATAATAAATAGATAATGAAGTGAAAGGTCACTTCTAAGATATTATCATATATTATATGTGTGCAGCTTGCAAAAGTCCATTCTACATTTGTTCCACATGTAGGCCCTAGATATCAGCAGACAGGCCATGGCTCCACGGTCCCAGCGACGAAGACACAAGAAACCTCCCTCATCAGTGGCTCCCATGATTGTGACCCCACCCAAGGTTGTGACCCCTGTGCCTCCGACCCTCTCAAAACCTGGACCTAGCATTGATGCACTTGGCTTCTTCTCTTTGGAGAATAATGTTCCTGGCCTGTCCCAGCTGATCCTTCAGAAGTTAAACATGAAAAGCTATGAAGAATACAAGTGAGTGCCCAGCTCCTTGGAAGAGGGATATGTTATCTCTGATAGAAGTGATTTCAGAAGGGAAGGAGGGAGAGTATAGGTATTTGCAGTGAGAATTTTTCTCATTCCTGACTCTTGCCAATTTTAATTACTGTGGAAGAAATATAATTTGCTTAAGTGAAGAGTAATGATGGGATTAGGGGACATGGGAGTAGGAAGTATGTAGGAGGACTAGGTATAGGGGACATGAGAGATTCTGTAGACATTTTTTCCCCTATTTCCTCTCTCCATGCTATCTCTACAGGTTGGTGATAGATGGGGGTATCCCTCTATCAGGCTTTGGATTTCGATGTCCTCAAGAAATGTTCCAGAGAATGGAGGACACATTCCGATTCTGTGCTCAGTGTAGAGCACTCCCTAGTGGTCTTTCAGACTCCAAGGTCCTCCGACACTGCAAGAGGTGACTTGTGGGGATAATGGGGGGACATCTAGAAATGCCCCTATTCAAAAACCTCTTTCCTAGTAGAAAGGTTTGAGAGTTTTCAGAATAACTTAGGGCCCACTCCTCATTTTGTTGCTCTAATCTACAGAGAGATTAGAACAGGGATGGGCTCCTATCTGTTTTTGGTAACATGGGGAGATGAGACAAAGAATCCTTTCTACCTCCCTCATCTTGAGTACCCAAGGGTAAGAAACACATCCGTCAAGAATTGCCTATGAAGAGAGGGCAGCTACAGAATTCCATTGTTTTTATTGTTGTTGTTAAGAGAGATGAATGGTAAGTTGTTGCAGATAGTGAGTTATTCTATCCTAAGAGAATAATTATATTCCCAATTGTACCTCTCCCCACCCAAAAAAATAAAACCAAAAACATAGTCCCCAAATTTGGTACATCATATGTTACTCCTCTCCCCACTTTCCTTACCCAGTAATCTTTCTCCCTAGGTGCAGGAATATCAGTTCTCTTCCTAGACATTCTTTAATCACCTTTATGATACAAGAGTATCTATTTCTGTGGCTTATCCTCTCAGGTGCAGAAATGTCTATTACTGTGGTCCAGAGTGCCAGAGGTCAGACTGGCCAGTGCACAAAAGGGTCTGTCAAGAGCTGCGTCTTGTGGCTGTAGACCGTCTCATGGAATGGCTTCTGGTCACAGGTAGAGTGATGGTCCTAGGGAACAGTCCCATAGTGGTCATAGTTGGACAAAGATGATGAAAGCATGTTGTTATGGGGAACTGGGATAGGTCACAGGTTGAGGGAATGAACATAGAGGGAATATTGATCATTAGTGAGAAGGGAATTTGGAAATCCAAGAATGACCAGGACACTTTTTTTGTTTCCTACAGGTGATTTTGTCCTACCCTCAGGACCTTGGCCACAGCGGGCTGAAGTTGTACAGAGCTGGGATACTTGGTTTTCCATGCGGGGCTTACAGCTAGATGCTACGCTAGGTGCTGTGCTAGGTAGTCATGCCATGACTACCTTGTGGACCAGTGTAAAACGACCAAGGCCAGGCTCAGATGTTCTGCAAGGCTCTTTGAAACGGCTGCTGACAGATGTCCTGTCACGACCCTTGACACTGGGCCTAGGGCTTCGGGCATTTGGGATAGATGTTGGAAAGGCTGGGGGAAGCACAGTGCATGTAGTTGGTGCTTCCCATGTGGAGACATTCCTTACTCGCCCTGGGGACTATGATGAGCTTTCCTACATGTTTCCTGGACACCTTGGCTTCCATGTAATCATGATTGGTGTAGATGTGGCTACTGGCTTTTCACAGAGCACCTCAGCTTTACCCCTGGAACCTGGCACAGTTCAGCTTAGCAGCCACAGGGGTCTCTATCATGACTTCTGGGAGGAGCAAGTAGAGACTGGACAGATAGCCCATCCAGATTTGGTAGTAGGATTCCATCCAGGTAAGAGTTATAAACTCAGGGGAATATTGGGTGGTTCTCCTGACCTCATATCTTCTGTCTTTGGAACTCCGTTAATTTGCTCTGGTTAAACACAATAGGATAATGACCCTGGTTGATCATTAGCCATATGTGGTATACCTGGCTTCCGTTGAAGAGCCTGGGGTGGGTGATGGTGATAATGAGTAATGGGGGTGAGCAAGGTGAGAAGTGGGGTAGACACAGTCAAAAAGTATGTTGCTTAGGATCTACCTCAACCTATTCCCGTTTACATTTTTGTCCCATAGGTTTCCATTCCTCTCCGGACCTGATGGAGGCTTGGCTGCCTACCCTGCTGCTACTTCGTGATTATAAGATCCCAACACTGATTACTGTTTACAGGTTTTGACCTTTTCCTATTTGTGATACCTCCCTGATTCATTCACATCTCCCTTTATATTTGAAAAACAAAACAAAACAAAAAAACACTGCAATTGAGTTGATCCTGACTCATAGAGACCCTATAGGACTGAGTAGAACTGCCCCATAGGGTTTCCAAGGCTGTAAATCTTTACAGAAGCAGACTGCCTCATCTTTCTCTTGTGGAGCAGCTGGTAGGTTCAAATCACTGACCTTTGGTTAGCAGCTGAATGACTTACCACCAGCACTCTTTTGCATGTATCCCTTTATATTGTTGTTGTTGTTGTTGTTATGTGCTGTCAAGTCGGCCCGACTCATAGCGACCCCTCCTTGGGTTTCCGAGGCAGTATCACTACAGAAGTAGGATTGCCCAACCTTCCTTCCGAGGAGTGGCTGGTGGGTTTGAACCGCCAGCCGTCTGGTTAGCAGGCAAGTGCCTTAGCCACTATGCTACCAGAGCCTTTATATAGATGAGTTTATTTCTCTCCCCCTTGCTCATCTTCTGCCTCTGTGAAAATTCTCCTCCTTTTCATTTGGCTTTCTCATCCCCCAGGAACAAAATCCTTTGCTAGTTAATAGGGTATTTAGTGAAACACTTAGGAGGGAGAGAGAGCCCTTATCTAGTCCAGCTTAGGTAATTCTTGGGATTGATGAATTTAAAAATGTCAGGTTTTTGAGTAATTTTTCCTCTATCTCTCTCATAATCAGCAGAGCAATTTTTCTTATATCTCTCCCATAGCCATCAGGAATTGGCAGCCTCTTTGCAGATTCTGGTGGACTTGGATATAGACATCACTGCATATGGAGCTAACCCTTTCACGTCCCTTAAACCTGAGCAAGTCTATTCCAACCCCAACAAGCAGCCAGTATACTGCAATGCCTACTATATCATGTTTCTTGGAAGTTCCTGCCAGCTGGATGAGAGACAACTGAAAAAGAAAGTGGATGACAGGGTTTAAATAGCTGAGCCAGATCCGGACTGAATGTCTGGAAAGTAGGGAGGTTGTGATGAAATTACTCTTCTAATGCCAAGTTATTGCCAGCTTCGAAACCCACTATATCCTAAACCTCATACATTGTCCAGGTAAAGATTCTAGCTGAATGGCAGCTCCTATGACATGACTTAATTGCTAAGAGGTTAAAGCAAAGTAGCTTCTAGGGATACTGATCTGGATTTAATGGGATATAAGAGGCCCTAGTATCTATCTTTTCAGAGACTTGAGTTTCTAATAGTTTCCTTTGTAAGGAAGTTGTAATTCTTAATACAAATCAGATGGCAGTATCATCTACTAGAGGAGAAGACCACTGCCTTATTTGTGGGTAGGGGCTGGAAGAGGAACAAAACACCTTTCTTCTTATCCAGCAACTTGGGCTAAAAGAATGGAGAGGTGTCAGTGACTTGAAATGGTACAAGAATGGACAAGTGAGAGAGGGGGTTGGGAGCATGATGGTTGTGAAGATTGGTACACTGTTTTATTTCCTGGCCTTTTCAAGAGAAATAGCTCATTTTCCCATTTTCAGTTGGAGATCTCTGTTCCTAGAATAGTTTTTGTGCTGGTGTTATTATTAGTTATCCTGGGGTATATCAGAGTTAACCTGAATTTATTGACATTACTTGTTATTATCTGGTCTATAGCATAATAAACTCAGTTTGGAGCTCTTTAAACTACTTGTTTTATTTTCTATTCACTGGCAAGTATTACTCATCTTACACAACACTTCAAGATTGGAGGTTTCTCTCTTGCCAAGGGAGTGATTAACATCAGCTCTCTGTCTGGGCCTGCCACTCTGCCACATCCTTGTTTCGTGACCACCTTCTCACAATGTGAAGATTAGGACACTCTCTAGGTATTCATTCTAGCAATCTTGCCATGATTTCCCCACCCCCACCCTCACCCCCACCCCAAAAGACATGTACACACTCTTCTTGCTTACTCTGATAGGAGTAATGCTAGAATTCATTTTTTTCATTCAAAACAGTTAGTTAGTGCTTACCATGTGAAAGATACTGTATTGGGGCTTTTGGTACAAAGATACAAAAGAAAATGAGACACCATCATTATTCTTAACCTAGCAAGGGAAATAATAATACATATACAGAGATAACTTTATTATAAGATGTAATGTGTAATAAGAACTGTGAGAAAGCCTTATTATGCTAAGAAAGTAAAAGAGTGATTACTTTGATAGCGATAGTGAAGGTTTTGTGATTTAGAATTTTATTAAATGGAGGGCAGGACATTCCATCTGGATGGAACAAGAGCAGAAGTTCAGAGGTAGAAAAGCACTGGAGATCTTTTGGAGTATGGTCTTAGGGTGGGCTCTCTAGTGAGGCAAATCCAGTGAAGCATGTGCACATGGATAGAGAGAGATTGAGATTTAAGGAAATGGCTCACACAATTGTGGAGGCTGGCCCAAATATGTGGGTCAGGCTTTAGGCTGGTGGCTTCTTTTACTCATGTGGTTGCAGGGGCTGACAAACCTAAAGCTGGCCAATAAGTGCATGAAAAGATGCTCAATGTTGTTAGTTATTGTTACTATTTTTAGGTGCCATTGAGTCATAATCAAAACCACATTGAGATACCACTTTATGTCCATTAGGATTGCTATAATCAGAAAAACAGACAGCAACACATGTTGGCAAGGATATAGAGAAACTGGCGGAATGCAAAATGGTGCAGTCACTGTGGAAATACTTTGGAAGTTCCTCAGCGTTAAACATAGAATTACCAAAAAAACCAGACTCTTGCCATTGAGTCAGTTCTGACTCATGGTGACTCCCATTAGGTTTCCAAGGTTATAAATCTTTACAGAAGCAGACTGCCTCATCTTTCTTCCGTGGAGCATCTGGTGGGTTCAAATTGCTGACGTTTTCGTTAGCTGCCTGTGTTACACTGGATTCTCTAGAGAAGCAAAACCAGTAATGCTTATAAAGAGAAAGATAAATTTATCTCAGGAAAATGGTCACACATTTACAGAAGCTGGTAAGTCCCAAGTTCTTGGATCAAATGTCAAGCTGGAGGCTTTTCCCAACCCACGCAGATGCAGGGGCTGGTGAGCTCAAGGTTGGCAGACAGTATACTGGCTGTTGACTCCAACAAATGACAAATCCAAGATCTCGAGGCTGAATGGTGGATTGTTCACTCACGGACAGTTGTAGGCAACACAACAGAATCTCCATCCACAGAAGAGTGTCTCTTTTCCCGGGATGTCCATAAATATACTGGAAGCAGGCCACACCCTTAGGGAAACTCCCTTTCAGTGGATTGGCTGCTTAAAACATATACATCTGATCCCATCATGGGAACAACACACATCATAATTGCTTAAACCACATAGAATTGTGGTCAGCCAAGTTGACACACGGCTCCAACTATCACACTGCCGTATACCTTAACCACTGCACCATGAGAGCTCCTTAGAATTACCGTAAAAAAACTCAAACCAAACTCATTGCTATCAAGTCAGTTTAGACTCACAGTGACCCTATTGGGTTTCCAAGGCTTTAAACCTTTATAGAATCAGATCGCTTCATCTTTCTTCCATGGAGCAGGTGGGTTTGAACTATGAGCCATTTGGTTAGCAGCCATATGCCTTAACTACTACACTACCAGATTTGTTTTTGAATTACCATATGGCCCAGCAATTCCATTTCCAGCTTGTGAAAAGAGTGTGGGGATGGCATCATCTGACCTCCTCTAAATTCACAAGGGAGAAAAGAAGATCAACATCAAGCCCAAGGCTGATTTTTAATGAGGTAGAGGTCAGACATGCCTCCACCTCCAGCCTTCTTATCTATTCTGACATCAACCATCCCTTCCACAGCACACTCTGCTTCTCTGCTGTGTTTGATAATTTATTGCATTGGCCACACAGAACTCACAGAAAATACTCAAGATTATGGGGTTTATTGGGGAAGTAACAGGTTACAATACAGCACTTCCAAGCAAACTGAACAATCAGGTGCACTGTTCGAAGTTCTGCCCACTGAGAAGATTTACTTTCACCATTGTCCTTCAGGAGGAGCTCTGGTGGTGTAGTGCCTAAGGCATTTGACTTACTCTGGATATGGATTGCCTTTCCTGAACGTAATGCTTCTGCCAAAACTACCATCTGTGGACTTAAAGAATGCCTTATCTACCATCATGATATCCCACCCAGCTAATCAGAAGGTTGGCGGTTCAAACCTACCAGCAGCCACTCTGTGGAAGGAGGACCAGGCAATCTGCTTCTGTAAAGATTTACCACCTTGCTGTGGGGATTGCTGTGAGTTGAAATCAACACCATGGCAGTAAGGGTTTTTTTTTTTTTTGGTCATTCAGAGAGGGGTTGCAGTCCTGCTGTTGTCCTACTTTTGAGTAGTGCCTGCATATCATGCAGAACTATCTAAACCAGGCATGAGTTTTGTTTTCTCTTCCTCAGTCAACTGATCATAAACAACTCATAAGACCATAAGTGCATAGTGGGAGTGGGAAAGTAATGTGATAGGAGTGGAGGCGTTTGGGCCACTTCCTCATGCATCTTTCTTGTGCCTTCTGGTCCTGCTCAAGCCCCATCTCCTATATACCACTTCCATTTAATGATGGAGTGTGATTGTGCATGTCCAACTGTATGATTCTGTGGGCCAGACAACACCCAGTTAATGATGGGCAGCTCAGGTTGCATGGTGACTTGATGGCCCATGGTTAGGCATTCAGTCTTAGTAACAAGCCAAAAGCTGTATCTTAAAACTAGAGTAGTTATGTGAAGAGGATAGCGGGGCTTTGCTCCAAAATCTTGAGGGTCTGTGATGTGATTGAGCAATAGGGCCTGCCAAAGACTCCAAACAGAATATCTGTCTGCCACTGACACTTCACCATTGGATCAGCCAGGTCATATAGCCCAAGTGGCAGAGCGGTTTGCATGGCAGCCTCAGCCTTTTGCAGAGCCTTCTGTTCTTCCAGGCTCCCTCAGCTTTTTTAGTCACTTATCAATAGGCCAGATTAGCATACTCAAATGAGGAATATGTTGCCTTCAAAATCCAGAGGCCTACCGGGCATTGTGCCTCCTTTTTAGTTGTGGGAGGGGCTAGATGCAATAACTTATCCTTAACCAAAGGGTGACCTCAGCAGAGGAGGATTTTAACAATCAAGTGGATAGGATGATGTATTCTGTGGATAACAGTCAGCCTCTTTCTCCAGTCACTGCTGTACATTGTCCAGTAGGCTCATGAACAAAGTCACTTGGTGGCAGGGATGGAGGTTATGCATGGGCTCAGCAACATAGACTTCCACTCACCAGTGCTGAATTGGCTATAGCCACTGCTGAGTGCCCAGTCTGCCAGCAACAGAGACTCTGATATAGCAGCATTCCTAGGAGTGATCACCCTGGTGGCAGGTTGATTACATTGGACCGCTATCATCATGGAAGTTTTGTTCTTACTGGAATAGACACTTACTCTGGATATGGATTACCTTCCCTGAATGTGATGCTTCTGCCAAAACTACCATCTGTGGGCTTAAAAAATGCCTTATCTACCATCATGATATCCCACACAGCATTACCTTGGATCAAATAACTCACTTCATGGCAGTGGGCCCCTCCTCATGGAATTCAGTGATCTTATACCATGTTCTGCATCATCCTGAAGCAGTTGGCCTGATAGAATGTTGGAATGGCCTTCTAAAGACACAGTTGGTGCCAGTTAAGGTGGTAATACCTTGCAGATTGGGGCAGTGTTCTACAGGCAGGAGCTGTATATGCTCTGAACCAGTGTCTAGTATGTGATGCTATTTCTCTTGTAGCCAGGATTCTTGGGTTCAGGAATCAAGGGGTGGAAATGGCACCACTTCCTATCCCTAGTGACCCACTTGGAAAATTTTTGCTTCCTATCCCCATGACTCTATGCTTTGTGGGTCTAGTGGTCTTAGTTCCAAAGCAGGGAATTCTCTCACCATGAGACACAACATTGATTCCATCGAACTGAAAGTTAAGAATGCCACTTAGCCACTTTGGACTCCTCATGCCTCTGGATCAACAGGCAGAGAAGGTAGTTACTGTACTGGCTGGTGTGATCCTGATTACCAAAGGGAAACTAGATTGATATTACATAATGGAGATAAAGAAAAGTATGTCTGGAATACAG